ATGTCTGATATTAACCACCGTTTGAAAAGTGACATCAAATCAGTCTTACTATCAATTCATATCAAATAATGACTTAATAATGATCTCAAAGTTTTCATGTCTTCATTACAAACAGCAATATGAATGCCAATCAAATAGACTGCCAGTGAATGGCACTTAACATACGACCCCTTATTACCGGCAAACCAAACAAAACAACATTCAATCGGATTATCACTTGAATTGATCCACATTTGTGTCACCACACCAGCCATTGGCATGAAATTTGTGAGTATTGCCACACATTCACACCAATCACTCACTCCTATGTTGTGTCCACAGATCAGTCTATCAGGCAATGGCGGCAAAGCGTGTAATGCCATCAAATTCAAGAGCACCTTGGTCATGTTGGACTGCGCCCTCGACACGTCCACTACCATGGCTTTCCTGCCACTCCCTCTCGTCCACAGGTGACCATCCATTTGANATCAGGCAATGGCGGCAAAGCGTGTAATGCCATCAAATTCAAGAGCACCTTGGTCATGTTGGACTGCGCCCTCGACACGTCCACTACCATGGCTTTCCTGCCACTCCCTCTCGTCCACAGGTGACCATCCATTTGATTATTGTCTCCTACGCTCACCACTAACCCATTGTCTCCTACGATCACCACTAACCCATGTCTCACTGCCACAGCAATCACTTGTCAACACTTCCCAATTGGACGCCTAAAGACATACGAGAGCCTCAACTCGAGAACGTATGTCTCATTTGAATGTCTTGTTATCTATGACACGGTATGTGACCAATGAATTGATGTCCAAACAGGAGCTGAAGGAGTGTTGCGGTCGAGTCTTCATTGACAGCGCGCCTGAGTTTTGTATCCCAGAAGTGAGTCTTATTTGATGAATGAATGGTTGGATTAATTGCTTTCATTTGTGTCCAGACGTCGACCATAAACCTGAAACACGTGGATGTGATCCTGATATCCAACTATCAGTCGATGTTAGCGCTTCCATACATCACTGAACGCACAGAATTCTCCGGCATTGTCTTCGCCACGGATCCCACCCTTCAGATCGCCAAACAGTTTATGGAAGAAATGGTTAAATACATCGAAAGGACTCCCAAAGCGCGACAGGCATCGCTCTGGAAGAAGTCCAGTGTCTATAAACATATTCCTCTGGCCTTTAATGTGGACACCAATCAAAATAGTAAACCATTTTTGTGGCAACAGATCTACTCGACTAAAGAACTCAATAATTCTCTATCGAAAGTCAAAGTCATTGGATTCGCGGAACAAATTGTGATTTTATTTCAATGTCTTATTGAATGTCTTATTTCAATGTCTTATTGAAAGGCATTTCTCATTATTTTCTTCCCATTTAAGGATATCTTTGGTTCACTTCAAGCACAAGCCCTCAGCGCCGGCTATTGTATCGGTTCGTGTAATTGGGTTATCACTAGTAATCACGAGAAGATTGTGTATCTGTCCAACTCATCCACTCTGACCACTCACCCCAAGCCCATGGATCACATTCCGCTGCGAAATGCCGACGTACTGGTGCTCAACAACTTGAGCCAAACACCTCATGTTAATCCCGACTCAATGTTAGGCGAATTCTGCGTTAATATCGGTATTAAAGTGTATATTAATATGAATTCATTTTTAGATTATTCTACAATTGCTTTATAAATAACAGGAAAAGCGCTTCAAATGGGTGGCAATGTATTGGTTCCCTGTTATTCTTCAGGTGTTATTTATGATCTGTTCGAATGTCTAGCTCTACATCT